TATATATATATATATATATATATTTAAATTCATTTATATTACATCTTTAATTTAAAATTATTAATTTTTGCATTTATATTTGGAAAGAACAATTCCAAAGTTAGCTGCGATTTTGTAAAATTCTAAATTATTTATTTGAAAATATTATAATTGTAAAATATGATTTTTTAATTTGATATAAAACATATTCTTAGCAGTTATTACATTATTCTTATTATCAAGGACTGAAAATTATAATTTAATATTATTCTTGTAATAAAATTTATTCAAGTTTTAGGATTAATGTGCACTCGTAAATGAAGCTAGTTGCGAGTGCAAATACGGTGTTATTGAGAATTTCGTAAATGTGACTAGCGATTTTTTGCGACGTATGTACGTTGAATCGGTAAGACTTATTCGTTAGCCACATATAATTACAGGAGTTCGCGCGAAAAATTAGAAAGGGCTGAAGAGAAGAAAAGCTCAGAGCTCAAATATTTGCGCCGTTGCGGAATCGCCATCGAGATTGATTTCCAAGAGAGAGATAAGCATCCGTGTCTCGTGAATCTCACAGCAGATCCTATGTTATCCGGTACACTTTTGTATGTCATGCCTCCAGGTTTGATTCGCATCGGAAAGAATGTTCCGACGCATAAACTCGAATCCACTTTCAAACAACTGGATATTCTATTGGACGGACCTCTTGTTAGGGAATTGCACTGGTTAGTCAACGAATTGTGTGTGTGTGTTTTATGTTTAGACAAAGTAGAAAAGAGGGAGAAGGAGAAAGAATGGATCGGTGTGGGAGAAAAGGAGAAATGTTCTGTTAATGTCGATGCTGTGAATTTTCTTTACTGTCTAACATATTTTGGATGTGCTATAAGTATATTATATTTTCTGTCTTATGCTAGCTTCAAAAATTCCTTGGATTTCTGAGAAATACAAGACGTTATAATTAATTTAGGCTCCTACAAACTAATATTTTTGAACAATTACACGATGTCTGCAAGTGCTGTCCTTTCACAGGAAGGTCAGTCAAAGCTGAGATTTTTCATCATTTTATTTCTTTACACCTGTAACATGATTGATATCTTTATTAATTTTTGCAGTAAATTACAAAATTTAATATTTCTATATTTTTCAAATATATATATTTTCAATTTCAACTCTGTATCACGTACAGAGAATACTTGAACAT